AACAAGCCTCTCTTCTGGATCTCTCTGAGCTTGACAGAGGCATCAGAGCAGCATTACAAAGGGGTAACGTACCTGTAGCTGGGGTCCTAATTAATTCTTCTGGACTCATGGCTGTTATCAGGCAGGCCATGCAGCAGGAAATATCCACTTTTTGAGCAAAGCACACATCCATATCCAAGGGCCATCCTCTTCCCAGTACACCCTATCCCCCTGTCCTCCTCCTGGCCCACCAAGGCGGCTCAAAAAGCACCCCCCCAGCATGAGAGGTCAGGAGGGGAGCATTCGGATGAGGAGGAGTCCACAACATCCACTCTGGATGACAGGGAAGAGGGGGAATTCCTTTCAGAGGAAGAGGAGGAGGAGATCAAGTTACCTGAACAGTCCAGCCATTTTTTCAAGGCTGTGGACTATCAATTTTTATTAACCAAGGCAATTAAGGCTCTGGAGATCCAGGATCTCTCTCCTTCCGAGTACCAAAAATCCTCTAGATCTAAGTTCAAATCCAGATCCAAGGGAAATTTTTTCCACCTGAAGAGTATATTGAACAGTTTTTTCCTTTCTCTGAGTATTTTGAAAGGCAATTGAGGGCAGAATGGGACAGGCCCACTGCCAGCAAGCAGTTTCCAGCATTTGTAAAAAAGTTGTATGCTTTACCTAACTATGCTAATGAGTTATTACAGGTCTCTCCTGTGGATGGTCCAGTGGCAGCAATTCAGTCTTCTGGGCTGCTATCAGAAGACGGACAGGGCACCGTCAGGGACCCCACAGACAAGAAGACAGAGGCAACGCTCAGAAAGATCCATGAGGCTGTTGCCACAATGGTGAGGGCAGCATCCACAGCTTCCATTGCTTCCAGAGCTTCCATTGTGTGGATCTGCAAATTGATCTAGCTTCTCCCAGAGGACAACTAGGGGCTGTTGGAAGGAGCTACCCATATATTGAAGGCAAACTCTTTCACAGCGGATGCCACCTTGAATATCCTCAGCTTTACGTTGTGGGCTATGGCCTCTACAGCGGTGGCAAGAAGGCTTCTCTGGCTAAGAGCCTGGCACGTTGATGTCCTGTCTAAATCCATAGTCACAGCCTACCCCTTCTAAAGAGATGGACTGTTTGGAGACGACTTGGACAAGATCATAGTAGAGACACATGAAAAAAAGAAGGCCATGCCTAGATTCATACGGCGACCAAAGAGACAAGATTTCGCCAAGACACGAAGAAGACATTCTGGGAATCTACCAACCCCCAGGCAAACAGAACTCCTTTGGATCCACATTTCACAAACCAGCGTTCAACAAGAATGACACAGGGGAGCATAACTCCAAGCCCAAACAGGCATGACTACAAGTCCTTCTGTTGGGGGCCCGCCTTCTTTATTTTTCTGCACTTTGGACAGAGTCTCAGGCAGACACCTGGGCAGTGGAGATTGTTTCTCATGGTTATACCATAGAATTTCAATGCCAGCCACCAGAAAAGTTCCTGAGATCATCGGTCAGGAAGTCCACGGACAAGAGGACTGTCGTCAGCAAGGCCTTGGGACCTCTTTTGGACATCAAGGCCATAGAACCACTTCCCGCTCACGAACAAGGACAGGGCATATACTCTATCCTGTTGATAGTCCCCAAGAAGAATGGCGATTGGAGAGCCATATTTGGTCTCAAGTTCCTGAACAAATACATCAAGCTTCCCCATTTTCATATGGAAACCTTGAGAGCAATAACAGTCTCTCTTGCCGGACGAGTTCCTGACCTCAGTAGATCTTACAGAAGCTTATTTCCACGTTCCAATTCACCCCACTCACAAGTGTTTTCTGAGGTTCTGTGTAAACAATCAGCATTTCCAATACAGGGCATTGCTGTTTGGCTTGTCCACAGCCCCAAGGCTCTTCTCCAAGTTAGTGATCAATCCTGTAGTACATCTCAGAAGCCAGGGGAATCCATGTTCACCCATATCTAGATGACCTACTAGTGCGGGCAAGCAGTCATGTGGAATCCATCAGGAACACAGATACAAGGCTAAAATGCCTCCAGAATCATGAGTTCCTTGTCAACCTCTGCAAGAGCTCCCTTCAACCCACACAAAAGATTGAACACCTGGGAGTGGTAATCAACACCACTCACAACGAGCTTTTCCTACTATTGCCCAAATCAGAGAGATAGCATCTCTAGTGACCCGCAGCACCTCCTCTCCCCTGATGGATCTGGCCAGACTTATGGGGCTGATGATATCCAGCATAGAGATGTTGCAATGGGTGTGGCTCCATGCCAGAGCTCTGCAACTTTTTCTTAGGCCCTACGAGCAAGCAATCATGGAAAAGAAGAACCTCACTCTTTGGGTTCCCACCAAGGTCAAGAGCAGTCTTCTCTGGTGGATGAATCTAGACAACCTGGGTTGGGGCAAGGAGTATTATGTTCAGCAGCCCATGGAGATCTTCATGGATGTGTCTTTACAGTTGGGGAGCAACCCTGGAGGACTCCCCTGTTAGGGCAAGTGGTGTCTAACCGAGGTGACTCTGCCCATCAATCTGTTGGAACTCAGAGCAATATTTCATGCCTTGAACCACTATGGCCCTTGTCTCCAAGGACAACATATCCTGGTTCGGACGGACAATATCTCTGTCAAGGCATACATCAACAAGCGGGGCAGCTCCCGGTCCTCTCAGCTACACCAGGAGGTGATGAGAACACACACCTGGGCAGATAAGGACGTTGTAGCCATAAGGGCGGAGCACATCAAAGGGGTCGACAACATTCAAGCCAACTGGCTCAGCAGGGAGACCTGCTTGACCTGATAGTAGCACATTTAGGTCAACCATCAGTCGATCTGGTCGCATCACCAACAAATCATAAGTTACCGAAATTCTTCACCTAGTATTACCACCAGGAGGCGGAGGCGATGGACACTCTCACAACACCCTGTCCCAGAGGTCTGCTTTTCGCATTCCCGCCATTCACTCTGATCTCCAAGACTGTCCGCAGAATAAGAGAGCTCGGAGCAGAAGTGATCTTAGTGACTCCCAGATGGGTACGTTGTCCTTGGTTCTCGACACTGAGAGAGATATCAGTGCTTCAACCACTGGTCAACTCAGTGACCCCAGACGTGCTATCTCAGAGGCTGATATGGCACCCACACCCAGACTGGGTGTGTTTGACTGCCTGGAGATTGAATGGGGCAATCTCTTGAGACTAGGGTATTCTAATGAGGTCACGGAAAGCATTCAGTCCTCCAGGAAGCAGTCCACTATCCGAATTTATAATACTAACTGGAAGACCTTTGTGCGGTAGTGCAGACGTAAGAAGATAGATCCCCTGTCTCCCTTCGTGGCCTTGGTTTTATTTTATCATTTCTGCAGGAGGGACTTGACTTCGGTCTCAGGTCCTTTACACTTTGCAGACAGACAGTAGCATTGTCTACAGTGTTACCTACAATGGGGGGATTCAAGGTAACTAAGCATCCCCACGTTCAGCTTTTTCTGCAAGTTGCAGCAGTGATATTTCCTCCGCAGATACATCATTTTCCAGCATGGAGACTAAATAAAGTCTTAGTGGCACTTACTAAGGCACACTTTGAACCACTTAGGGAGGTGGGAGTTCAGTGGCTGAGGATGAAGACCCTGTTCCTAGTAGCCATCACTTCTGCAAGAAGGGTTTCAGAGTGTAGTGCACTTTCTGTCAAGTCTTCCTTATGTATTTTCCACAAGGATGAGGTTGTGCTCAGGACTAATCCGACCTTTCAGCCAAAAGTCTCTTCAGCCTTTCACCGTTCGCAAGAAATCTGTTCAACCTAAGTATCCTAGAGAATTCGCATGGCACACCCTAGATATCCGGAGAGCACTAAAAATTTATATTATATGGACAGAATAAGTGTGGAAGACAGACTCCATGTTTATCAACATCTCTCCCCCACAAAAAAGGGTCAGGATGTCCAGAACATCTATCAGCATGATGCTCAAATCCTGTATTTTGGAGGTGTGTAGGGCCATGGGGCAGGACGTCCCCAAGGGCATTACAGCACATTCTCTGCAAAGTGTGGCCACCAACACAGCCTTTGTCAATCGAGCATCTGTGGAGGAAGTCTACAAGGCAGCCATGTGGTCATCCATATCCAGCTTCATGCGACACTACAAGCTAAACACTGTGGCTTCCGCGGATGCAGCCTTTGGAAGAAGAGTACTTCAGCACATCAAGACGATTGAGGAAGATAATGACCCACCCATGTGAGGGACACTGCTGTGGGAGGTCCCATAGAGATGTCCTCCACCTCAGAGGGAGAATGACCATTGGCACTTACTGTTAAGGGTCATTCTCCTCTGAGGTCAGGAGGACAGCTTGGCCCTCCCGTTTTCATCATCTTTCTCTACTTCTGTGCTGTTCTCTTCTTTCTAGTCTACTCTACAGACTCCTCCTGTTTTCCTTCTGTTGTAGTTCATGTTAAAGCTATGGTTAACAGTTGTGTTTTATAGGGCACGGCCATTAGGTTTACTTTGAGATCACTGCTTTCAGAGTCCCATAACTGAGGGGATGGGCTATTCCAGAGGCATCAACAGGAAAAGGAAAAAACAGGAAGAGGAAAAAACAGGAAGAGGAAAAAACTGAGGGGATGGGCTATTCCAGAGGCACCAACAGGAAAAGGAAAAAAACTAGCCACCCTGAGCCTGCCTTGGCGGGGAGGTGCAGGATATAAATATAATAAATATTTCCTGCCTCCCTAAAGGCACTGTGGGAATAACCCTTAGGGATGTCCTCCTGACCTCAGAGGAGAAGGGCCCTTCACGGTAAGTGCCAATGGTCGTTTTCTCATGAAAACGCTCCCACTTGGTGGTTTTCTCCTCACCGTGCTAATTTTCAGATTCAGTTCCGAGGGCCAGGAGGAGGGGATGGGGGTGAGAATTGCTGATGCTTGGATCCATATTGCAACACTAGTGAAAGGAAGGTTGTAGGACCAAGCCAAAGTTCCTAACCAGTTAAACTGTTTCTCATCCCTGTATATCTTTTTCTTTATAGGAAATCATTTGCCAGAAGAATAATGTAAGTATATGGATTTAAAAAAAATAATAATTACATGATATCATGTGCCAAGCAAATGTGTTTATTTCCTCGATACCTGTATGGAAATGTTAACAGTATTCTGCTACATTTTGTATGATACAGCTATTTCCTCCATTACTGTTGTTCAATTCAAAATCATACATTCCCAGCAGCAAATGTCATTTAATAAGCCTGTTGCGAGGCTTACCCACTCATATTGTCTTCACTACTTCTTAACATATTCCATTTTGCTGTTTCTCTGCATCATCATTTTCTCCTTACCATGTCCAAGTTTTCTTGAGTCTCTTCTGTTGAGTCCTTCCCTTTCCCATTGTTCTCTTTATGCCCTCTCTTACTTTAGGAATGTCAGATGCTGTCTTACTCCTACTTTTGTAAGCTGTGTACGGACAGATAAGCTTCCTTTTTTTTTCTAATGCCTGTGACTGACTCACAACATCCTGTCTCCAGTGCATAAGAGCCAACAAAGTGGCATCTGCAAGACAGGATGGAACTTGTCTGTATCTGTACTTGGTCAGTATTCTTATCTACTGTTCTCCAAAGGCCATTGTCTGGAAGATGTGAAATCCACAATCTCTGTCCTGAAAATACCTGGAAGCCCATTCAGTTGGAAGAAACTTGGCTGCTCTTTCATTTGGAAGTAATCCACAATCCTGCCATAGACTGAAGTCTTTCTCTTTCCTGAAAGACACACATTGGCAAGTACTCTGGTGATGCATCTGTGTCACAGCTTCAGGTCATGCCTTTGATCATTGTTCAAGGTCCTGAGAATGATGATTTCATGCCTCATCTCCCTCCCAGAAGTAAGATTCTACTCTAGTCCTTTCTGGATCACACCCCTCCTCCCCAATTTCAGGCCCAGATTGCCATAGCCCCAATTTGTCCCACAAATAGTATAATGATCCTTTCTGTGGGGGAGCTCCTCCCATCACCAGATTTGGGAGCTCCTACCGAGGAGTCACAGCACAGGACAATAACTACCATTCTCGGCATCAGCCCACTGTGGCAAGTTGTAGCCCAAGGCCTTGTTTGGACATGGAAAAAGACAAAAGCATAAACTTTCTGAAGCAACAAATTATCAAGCTGGTGCTCCTTCACTTTGCAATTCTAATCAGGACCAGCAATGTTCCAATGAGCACAGACTATGTGACAGTTAAAGTCCGTGTAAATGTAGATGAGAACAGTTACTTCAAGTCAGTAATAACCTTTAATTACAAAGCTGTATCCTCTTGATGAAACATAAAGCTTGTCTTGAATGTCTTGGGACTCAGGTTTGTGGTGATGGAGGGGAATGGAAATGGACAAGCAAGTTTTGGGGAATAACACAAGAACTGCGAGTAGGTCGAAGAAAGGATATGCCCATTGTGCGGATGGTATTGAGTCTGTAGAATATGTAATTTTTTATTGTAAAGCGAATAATAACATCCACGAGTCTCTTTCTTTTCCTAAGACACTCCCTCTCTCTCTCAGGCAAAGAATCTGCCTTTTAAGAAATTTGCTATTGGATAGCCGGGCAGAAGTTACCTATCAGGTGGCTGGGTTCGATGGCTTGCCCAAAGAATTAGAAAATCTATAGTAACTCGAAAAGAGGAGAATTAAGATTAAGTTTTATTGATTTTAACCATTATGGTTTTTATGGTGTTTTTTATAATCAGTCTTAAAATTCTGTTCCTATTTTAATCTGATATCTTTTACCCATGTTACAAAATGTCATTGTCTGTCTGTCTGTCTGTCTGTCTGTCTGTCTGTCTGTCTGTCTGTCTGATCTATCTATCTATCTACTGTCTGTCTGTCTGTCTGTCTGTCTGTCTGTCTGTCTGTCTGTCTGTCTGTCTGTCTGTCTGTCTGTCTGTCTGTCTGTCTGTCTGTCTGTCTGTCTGTCTGTCTGTCTGTCTGTCTGTCTGTCTGTCTGTCTGTCTGTCTGTCTGTCTGTCTGTCTGTCTGTCTGTCTGTCTGTCTGTCTGTCTGTCTGTCTGTCTGTCTGTCTGTCTGTCTGTCTGTCTGTCTGTCTGTCTGTCTGTCTGTCTGTCTGTCTGTCTGTCTGTCTGTCTGTCTGTCTGTCTGTCTGTCTGTCTGTCTGTCTGTCTGTCTGTCTGTCTGTCTGTCTGTCTGTCTGTCTGTCTGTCTGTCTGTCTGTCTGTCTGTCTGTCTGTCTGTCTGTCTGTCTGTCTGTCTGTCTGTCTGTCTGTCTGTCTGTCTGTCTGTCTGTCTGTCTGTCTGTCTGTCTGTCTGTCTGTCTGTCTGATCTATCTATCTATCTATCTATCTATCTATCATCTATCTGCGAGTAGGCTGCTTTAAACTAGTGCACAAAACTTTCTTCATTGGCCTGCAGAATGGCCTGTAAAGCATTCCTTTTGAGACGGCATTAAGCTGATCCTGGTTTTTAGTATTTGTTGCAGTTTTATGTGTCAGTCTGGTTTTTTTGGGTTTTTTGCATTCACTTTTTATTGTTGAGCATATCCGTTCAACACAATAATAATTCACTATTCATCTTATTGATATGCTCATTTTCCATTTTTAAACAATCTTGAAACAAACATACAAACAAAAGGGAAAAAAATCATCTGAGGTTACTATTACCACAGAGGGGGGCACACTCATCGCCTCCTTGCTACACCCATTTATGGCACTGCAAACCCTAAACTTCAAGTTAAACACCTCTTCTATATTTCTATCCTTCATAAACATGTTAAGAGAAACAGTCTACTCTTGTATTAAAACATCCTGCTTGGAATTCTTACCTCTTACTTATCCTATAACCTAGCTATCAATGCCAAAGTATATTGTTCCCCTCACAGCTCCCCATCTTTCAATTTCATAACACCTTCAACAAGTTTTTTCCCCATCATCTCATTATGTGCTGTGAATGTTTTATTTTTTATATTCACAGCCAAATGTCCAAGAGCTAACCATCTATATGGTATTTCCTTTTCTCTCAATGTTTTAGCCGTTTCACGCAAGCCTCGTCTTGCAATCAGCACCTCTGGGATCACGTCAGCATATAAAAACACGCAAGTGTCCTCAAGGAGCAAGCCCTTTTTTTCCCGAGCTATTTTAAACCGTTTATTCCTTGTGTTGAGCTCTTTGAATTCAATTATTATATCTTGCGGGACTCC